ATACGTTTTCTCAGAAATATTTTCATTGTTTTTATTTGCAGCCTATTCTGTTCCACCAGATACAAAAGTTTAATGGGTCGTGAACACAATTTGATGTTGATTTAAAAGTCTGAAGTGGTTGAACTGTGAAGTTAAATCTTTCAGACAAAGACCCACCAACACTTTAAGAGTTTTTCCAGTCTGATGCAAATCTCGTCAGGCTTTCTTCTCTCTCTTTGTCACTTTAGTTTTAATGGAGCGCTGTTTTTCAGAGTTGACTTTTAGTGACTGAACCATTTCTGTTCAACAGCTTCCAGTTTTAATTGATTGAGAGTAAATCTGATGCAGATGTTGATGTGTCCGCCAGATGTTGAGAAGTACCGCTGTGTTAAAGAATCAATCCTCTGCAGCTGCTGAGGAAACATTGACTATGAGAACAAAAAAGGAAGAATATTTATATATTTATCTGTTTGTTTGTTTGTTCTTGCGCATGCCGTCAGCGACTCGCACACAGTGAAATTGCTTGCTTTCAGACAACTTTGTCACCTGCAGTTTGTGCTTCTGAAGTAAAGTGTGAATGTGAGAAGTGTGTGTGTGTGTGTGTGTAATATTTATATATATATAGCATTCTGTGGTCCTGTGTGTGACTATTCTGACTGTGTGTGTGTGTGTGTGTGTGTGTGTGCGCAGGCGAAGGAGTTTATCTACTCGGAGCTGCTGGCGTACCTGTACTCGTCAGGTGATCAGAACAGTCTGATGGAGGAGTCGGCGGAGCAGGAGCAGCGGCGGGACGAGATGCTCCGCATGTACAACGCTCTGAAAGAGGCTCTGAAGATCATCGGGGACATCAGCACATCCACCATCACCACACATGTGCCCGCGCCGGTGGACGACACCTGGATACACACTGACCCCAGGTGCACACACACACACACACATATATAAATATATATATATATATAGACACACACTCACACCCCCAGTGGATAACACCTTGATACACACTGACTTTAAGTGCTCGCACACACACACACACACACACACTCTTACACACGTGATGTAGTTTTGGCTGTTAGTCAGTGCTCATTATTTATTAATGTATTATAAGCGTGAATATTTAATGAGCAGTGTTATGATTTATTCCCTCATTAGCATCTCATCAGTACACATGTTTGGCGTGGTGTTGTGTATTGACAGATGTGTGTGTGTGTTTCTCTTCTCAGTCCTCCATCTCAGCGTAAGCCGTCAGGAGGTTCAGCCCCGCCCCCTGGCCGTCCTCCTGCAGTGCGAGGCCCCACCCCTGGAGCTCCAGCCCCGCCTCCTCTAAACCCCTCCCCTGCCTTCGGAGCTCCGCCTGTTCCCTCCAGACCCACTACGCTGGAGCCGGCTGTAGCTCCGCCCCCTCAGGTGCCTTCCCGCCCTGCACGGGTCCCGCCCACTGTGCCACCAGGGATACCCAGGTATGACTGACAGCTCACACACACTCACATTCCTGACACGTCAAACAAGCTTACTTCAGATTATATAACGAGTGTGTGTGTGTGTGTGTGTGTGTGTGTAGCAGGAGGCCTCCAGCGGCTCCAAACAGGCCCACAATCATCCGTCCGACAGAACCATCTCTGCTGGACTGAACAGTGAGCTGCACATCGGTGCTAGACATCAACACACACACACACACACACACACACGCACGCACACACACACACACACACACTCTTACACTACGGACAATTTTAGCCTACCCAATTCACCTATAGCGCATGTGTTTGGACTGTGGGGGAAACCGGAGCACCCGGAGGAAACCCACGCCAACACGAGGAGAACATGCAAACTCCACACAGAAACACACACTGACCCAGCCGAGACTCAAACCAGCGACCTTCTTACTGTAAATATAAGACATAGTCCTGAATGCAAGACTTTGAATATCAATATGCA